CACATACTTATATATACATATATACATTAAAGTAATTCGTATGAAATTTCGAATAGCTTCTGTAAATGCAAAAAATATATCGTCAGATCTACGTATGCATATATACATATATATGGCGTGACGCTTTATTTGTTTTTTTTTGCTTTTTTGTTTTTTCATATGCATATATGATGTGAGATGATATAGATGCCCTGTGTATATATATATATATATGTATGTGTATGTGTGTGTGTGTATTTGTGTTTATATTGTAGCTACAGCTCAACTGCAAATCGTACAAGCAAACAAGCCGTTGTTGCTGTTGTTGTTGTTGATTTTGCCGTCTGACTTTTTCATGACTTTCAGTCGACTAGATTTCAACTTGCTAATATCGCAGCAGAGCCGCGGCAGAGCAGTAGCGACAATGCGACTGAGGAGGGTTGGAGCAACAGCAGAAGATGGGATCTACGAAGACTGCCTGGCCACTGCCATATTCACATATCTATTTTGCTACGCTGCAGCCAAAGGCGCTATTTGCAAAGCACTTCCCCCGCCTCTCAACTCACTTCCCCCACAAATACGCACACACTCACTCACTCGCACACATAGAAAAAGCCGCTTAAAAATATGCATTGAAGCAAGCACAAAAAAACATTTTGCCATGGAAAACGACGACTAGAGTAGAGCACAAATAATAATAAAAAAGAAAAAAGCAGAAAAAAGGAAAAGCAGATAAAAAGTTTCAATTCTTGGCATAGAACAAAAATGCACGCAAAACGGACAAGCAGAAAGCAGAAAAAAGAAGGGAGAACTTACCTATACCACGCTCAAATTGTGTGCGACATGCAATTCACACACACACGCACACACATATATACTCTCAGAGCAGAGGAACAAACAGGGCTGCATAGCCCAAGAGGGGGACCTACGCTGGCAGCGCTGCTTGCAGTGACAGTGGCAATGCCAAAGGCAAACTGCATATTCGAGGCCTACATCAACATTTTTCTGCTTTTGCAACAGCTCCCAGCGCGAGAAAGAGAGAGAGAGAGACATTGAGCGAGAGAGTGAGAGAGCGCGCTCTGTAAATCGTGAGAGTGCAGTAAAGACTGAGAGAGCGCCCGCTACATATGCGAGTTGTTGCGGTTGTTGTTTGCTTGTGTATTGGTGCTTGAGCGCCAGCGCCGCGGCTAGCTGCTGTGCTTGTTGTTTGGCGGCTGGCTGCTGACGGCTGACGGCGGCGACGTCGACTGCAGTTTCCCAGTTTGTGTTGTGCTCTCGTGGCCATAGCTATGGCTTCTGTTGCTCTTGCTGTCGCTGCCCGTTCCTCCGTCGCTGCCGCTGCCGCCGTCGCCGCCTTCGTCTCCATCTCAGTTGCCGCGTAGCTTTTGGACGTTTACATGGATTATGTGGGTATGTAGTGCGGCGCAGCGTTGCGCCGAGACCGAGACCGAGAGACGACCAAGCACAATAACACAATGAACTCCAAATGTGGGCAGAGGCCGGGCTCGGCTTTTGAATGGTGTGTGGAGTGAATGGAAGAGGGAGTGAGAGGGAGCCATGAGGCATGAGGCATGAGGCATGGAGGTCGCCACCGTCGCTGGCTGCCTTTTGTGTTTTGTTTTTGTGCTTTGCTTGGCGTCTATATTTCCGTTTATTTTCTTCTCTTCTTTCACTTCTGCTCCTCTCATTTTTTCCCATTGCCCGCCTTTGTTTGGTTACTTCATGGCGTTCTTTGGTGCTGTGCGAGTGCAGAAAAAGTCTTTTCATAGTGCAAAATGAAATGTGGCGCTTTGATTGTGTTTGTTGTTGCACTGGTTGTAGTTGTTGTAGCTTTTATTTTTATATTTTGTATATGGAATATAATAATTCATCTAGCTGATGCCTTACGCGTTACACCAGACCGCACCGCCTCCAACCTGAGGTAATTTCGATCTCAAAATGGCGGCCAATCACTGCTGACGCAGCTTACCTCACACACAGCTCTCATCTGCTCTAGCGCCACCTGGCGCCAACTTCAGTTTTATTCAAGACCATCAGATTATACGCAAACATACAGCTTTTCCATTAGAATTGTGGAAAGTGGAGAGCATTGGCTTCTGAGTCTTACAGAGTTTGATGCATAAGTTCTACATACAATCCACACAATGCTCTCATATATTGGTAAACCTATGACCCACATGCTTACTCCATTAATGTAATTTGCAATTTTAACGCGTAATTGGACTGTATAAATTCCAACACGTAATCCAAATGGTATCCACAATATGGAAGGTCATTGAATATTAGCTTCGTTACATGGAACGCTTATTAATGAATGGAAAATATATGAATGAAATGTCAGATGAAATTTCGATTGTAGTTTAATATGGGTACATTCCCCATGGCATCCACACAATCCATTTTATACATGTCGCCAAATATCGCTATTAGATCTAGACTATTCATCATTGTAAGTATATCATTAGACTCCACAAGTATACGATCCACATAGATTCCTTCCTCGCTCATTTCTAAATTAAGCATTTTCAACCACATATTGATTTTATATTTTCGGCTTAATCCTTTCAAAGTGTACTTAAGGCACTCCATAGCGTTGGCAAATATTTGAGTAGCTAATTAAATGGATTTCAGCTCAAGTTAAGCTCTTCAGTTTGCCAAGCTCGAATCAATGTGGTGTTAAATTTGCAACCAAAGAAATTCCATTAATGTTTTCTGTATTATCAGCGTTGAGGCTTAGCTAGTCGTGGCTCAAACATGGTGATTAAAATAAGTTGCTTAGCTGTTGTTGTTGTTGTTGTTGTTGCTGCTGCTGCATAGCTCAAACAAGCCATGAAAATGCCAAACATTGCATGACGCTGTCAGCGATAAAAGAGAAAAAAAAAAAAAAACAACGCCTAGGGAGCCACACACACGCAGATCTGTGTGTGTGTGTGTGTGTTGATTGTGTGGTTGGTCAGGTTTTTACTTTTTTCTGTCGTTTTCTTTGCTGCTGCTGCCATTGTTGTTCTTGTTGTTGTTGTTGTTGTTGTTGCTACACACTTTTTCTTTGGCCGCAACAGCAATTTACTGCATTTTTCATTTACCAAGCGCACACACACACACATGCCACACACACATACCACATGCCACACACTGCACGTTGCACGCTGCAGTGAAAACTTTTGCAGTCAAGTTGGCGTCGCCGTCGTCGTCGTCGTCGTCGTCGCCGTCGTTGTCGTTGCTGAAGCAGACGAAGTTTGCATGACGCTGCGTTTTATTTCATATTATTTAGCGCGAAGCTTTTTACTTGTTTCTCTCTTGTTTTTGCTTTTGCTGTGGCAGTGAAATTGAAACGGGGCAGCAACAACTGTGTGTGTGCATAGGGAAAGTGGGCGAGGCGGGAGTACATGGTGTATGCGCAATATATCATTGCAGCAGCAGCAGCAACAGCAGCAGCAGCAGTTGCAGAGGCAGCAGCAGGTGCAGCGTGTGGCATGCATCCAACCAAGGAAGAGGCGAGAATGAGAAGAAAAAAAACTGTGTTATGCCGACAGCACACCGCGCTGCACTCCTCACAGCGGACTGCGATGGGCGTGGGTGTGGGCGTGGCACAGCTTTTGCACTTGTCGTCCAAGTGTTTTTTAGTGCTCGTGCTTTGGCTTCTTAGTCAAGTGTCTTGCTGCTCTAAGCTGCATGCCGAAGTCGCAGCCGCAACGCCTCTTTGTCGTAGCTTTTTATCTACTTAGGACACGCCCCATCCGCCTGTCCGCCCATCTACCCATCTACTCATCTAGCCATCTAGCCATCCATCCATCCATCAGACTGCCCGATTATTACTGTCTTTTCACACACAACTACTTGCACTTGATATGCTCTTTGCCCCGCCTCTCCTTCTCCGCCGCCTTCTAATGGGCGCCCTGAACGTGACTATTTGTATGAGTGCAGCTGAGCCAGGGCTCTTCAGAGTACACAGTCCACAGTCCACAGTCCTCAGTCCTCAGTTTCCTGCCCGAGCTAAAAGTCAATATTCAAATCGACACGAGTCCCTTTGGTCAACTAACATCAAAGAAGAATAGATTATGCCTAATGAAGACCAGGTCTAAGATTATGTATATATATAATGAATCAGTGGACAGAGTTAACATAGCACCCACACAGGATACACATACGATACACATAGATTAATTTCCATATCTTCATATGCTGTCAAATAGGCATTTCTTTCAGAGTCATAAACGTGATCCACATGCATTCCACAGCGATTCGACTCTCGTTTCATGCATTCATTCAGATTTCCAATGACATCCACTTTGACTTTATATTCCACACCAAATTCCACTTTAGAATATGGCAATATCTTTACTGGCCTTTGACCTCCCATTCTGAATTCTGTTGATTGCTATAACTTCCATTATCTATATCAGATAATTATAATAACTGACTGAATTCAAAAATTATTGAGCTTGAAACAAGTTTGTAATAAATAAAACTGCCAGAATTGAGCACTACGGCCGACATTGACGTGATCCGTACAGAGTTCTCCCCTTTCCATTGGATGTTTCTGAGTTATTTTATTTCCATCTGCCTACTTTGTTTAGATCTATCTCGTTCTTATGCCGTCGAATTCTTTGCGTGCGATGATTTTTGAGCGCATGGTAATTGAATTTTAAATATTTTATCGAGCCTTTGTCCACTGCTCTGCTTGGAGACCCCGTTCGCAGACACAGATACATCTAGAAAGACAGGCACAGATACAGCAAGTTCGAAATTATATATTCTTACGTAGATATACAACTAGACGCTTGGAACTTGAAAGAACTTGTGGCTGTTCGACGGCTCGCTAGGGAATTCGTTTTTGAATTTATTCTCTCTTGATTTTCAATTTTTCGCATGCAAATTTGTCGAATCAAAATTTATTTATTTGGGTCTAATGTTTTATGTAAGCCAACAACAAATTGATTTCGATTTTAACAAATTCACGGAAATCGTGAAAAAAGGCCAGCAAAAGAATAATCGAATCTGGAATTTGGATCCATTTGCAGGTCGCGATGATCTCTCGCCCTCGAGCAGCCTCAACGGCTACTCGGCCAACGAGAGCTGCGATGCGAAGAAGAGCAAGAAGGGCCCGGCGCCCCGGCTGCAGGAGGAGCTGTGCCTGGTCTGCGGCGATCGAGCGTCCGGCTATCATTACAATGCGCTCACCTGCGAGGGCTGCAAGGGCTTCTTCCGGCGCAGCGTGACGAAGAATGCGCACTACTGCTGCAAGTTTGGACGGGCCTGCGAGATGGACATGTACATGCGGCGCAAGTGCCAGGAGTGCCGGCTGAAGAAGTGCCTGGCCGTGGGCATGCGACCGGAGTGCGTGGTGCCGGAGAACCAGTGCGCGATGAAGCGGCGCGAGAAGAAGGCCCAGAAGGAGAAGGACAAGGTCTCCAGCTCCCCCAGCTCACAGCACAGCGCCGGCGGCCCCGCTGGAGCTCTCCACGGCACCCACGACTACGTCAAGAAGGAAATTCTCGACCTCATGACGTGCGAGCCCCCCCAGCATGCCACAATTCCGGTAAGTCCACTCCCATCCCCAGGTGTCGACTATCGCCACTTAACGATGATTCTCTCTACAGCTACTACCTGATGATATTTTGGCCGAGTGTCAAGCGCGCAATATACCTCCATTAACGTTCAATCAATTGGCCGTTATATATAAATTAATTTGGTATCAGGATGGCTATGAGCAGCCATCCGAAGAGGATCTCAAGCGTATTATGGTAAGTCCTCCACGAATCGCGGCTCATCCTTCAACATATAGAATCCCTAGAGACCTTGATAAGTTGTATCCCAAACACTCTTCCACAACCTGCTCTCATCTCCCTTGTTTCTCGTTTCCCACTATGCAGAGTCAACCCGATGAGAATGAGAGTCAGACGGATGTCAGCTTTCGGCACATCACCGAGATAACCATACTCACAGTGCAGTTGATCGTGGAATTTGCGAAAGGATTACCAGCGTTTACAAAGATACCGCAAGAGGATCAGATCACGTTACTCAAGGTGAGTATTGGCGATCAGCAAACCAGAATCGAGAATCGAGAATCGAGAATCGAGGTCGAGATCGAGATCGATAATTATCGACATTGCTTGCAGGCCTGCTCGTCTGAGGTGATGATGCTGCGAATGGCTCGACGCTACGATCACAGTTCGGACTCGATATTCTTCGCGAACAATCGATCGTATACGCGCGACTCGTACAAGATGGCCGGAATGGCGGACAACATTGAGGATCTGCTGCACTTCTGCAGACAGATGTTCTCGATGAAGGTGGACAACGTGGAGTACGCGCTACTCACTGCCATTGTGATCTTCTCGGACCGGCCGGGCCTGGAGAAGGCCCAGCTGGTGGAAGCGATACAGAGCTACTACATCGACACGCTACGCATTTATATACTCAATCGCCACTGCGGCGACTCCAGGAGTCTCGTCTTCTACGCCAAACTACTCTCCATACTCACCGAGCTGCGCACGCTGGGCAACCAGAACGCCGAGATGTGTTTCTCGCTCAAGCTCAAGAATCGCAAGCTGCCCAAGTTCCTGGAGGAGATCTGGGACGTGCACGCCATACCGCCCTCAGTTCAATCCCATCTCCAGGCCCAGCAGGAGGAGCAGGAGCGACGCGCCGAGCGGATGCGTGGCGCTGTCGGCGGCGCCATAACCGCCGGTCTTGACGCCGACTCCGCCTCTACATCCTCCCAGGCGGCGCTCGCTGCCGCCGCCCAACAACAGCCACTGCATCAACAGCAACAGCACCAGCAGCTCCACACGCTGCCCGTGCACACGCTGCCGCTACCCGTGCCCGGTGGCTCCGTCTCGGCTGTCAGCACCACCAGCGACTATATAGGTGGCGGCGGTGCTATGGGACCCACCACAGCGGCCGCTAGCTCCAGCACCAGCATCACAGCCGCTGTGCCCGCGAGCTCAACGACCGCGCCGGTGGCCAACGGGGGAGGGGCGAACGTCAGCATGTATGCCAATACGCAGGCGGCGATGGCTCTGATGGGCGTGCCCCTCAAATCGGAGCACTCGACAACCACTGCATAGCCCCTGCTTGAGGGCATAAGCATGGACACAGACGTGGGCGTGCCGGTGGGTGGTCTTCTGTTGGGCAGCATTATTGAGTGAGCTGGGGATTGGCAGCTGTGAGCATACACCTTTACGCCCACACCCACACTCCCACTCACACATCCACATAGATCGAGCTGTACTGTTAGGCACTTTGATAATAGATTCACCCGATTTGTATATAGCCGGAGAAACTGTCAAATTTTACATATTCAAAATAGTTTTTTTACTGAGCTGAACGAAACAAAGCGCGTGGATTTAATACATAAGTGCGTAACGGCACATTTGCTTGATCTAATATATATGTATGTGTATATAAACATATATACAAACACCTACAAATATATATATATATATTTATATATATAAAAGCTGGAGAAAAACATTTTTGAGTAAGCGTAAAATGCAGTTATTTAGTGTTAAGTCTGCAAATATTAGATGTAAGGCATTATAAATATATAACAAATAAAAATAGCATACTTGGACACACAGACACACCCCCACACACACAGACACAGCTAATTCTATATAACAAATTCTTAACTAAAACAGAGAATGCTTAAACATATATATATTTATATGTATATACAGAATTGGAAAACTCTCAAGCAAAGGGCATGGGATTCATGCAAAGAATACCTTAACATATATATATTTATATATATGCATGTTTATATACATATAAATGTATATATGTGCATATATGAAGTATATATACAAATAAAACATTGTATTGAATTTTCTACTGTTAATTTGCAAGAAAAGTTAGGACCTGTAAAATTGAATGCCTGTCAAACTGTCATGCAAAAATTATAAAAATTAAAACAAAAGAGAATAAAGATTGTTTATATTTTAAAAATATATAAAAACAAATACATACAATTTATAATATGACTACAATAAATACGAATGTATAATAAAAACAAACATATATGTAATTCAAAAGCAGCGACTAAATTTGATTTAAACACCTTGATCTATAAACAAAATGCTAAATAATTAACAACTAATTTAAGTTACATAATTCACAATACAAAAAACCCCAAACTTTTAAAAAACTAAAATTAAATCTAAAAAAAAAAACAACAAAAAAAATACACGCAAACTTGGACTGATTTTATAAATATTTTATTAATCATATTAACTGAGTAAAAGAAACGTAATAAGAAAAATTATTGACAAACTGAAATGAAAGAAAAATACATAAAAATATATTTTTCCTTATGACCTCCTTATATTTTTTTTAATTAACGTGAAATTGAGAATTTACATTTTTACATGCAGTTTAATTTTTTAATTTTTTCTTTGAAAAAAGGAAAGAAAGAGAAACAAATATATATTGGCGAAATTGATAAAAATTTTGTGAACAAGAAAAAAGTGATTGGAGTTTTACTCAACATTTAAAAGGCATTAACGGTATTAAATAATTAAAAACTAACTAAAAAATAAATTAAAAAATCAATGCACATTTTTGCTGGCAAAAAAGTTTCAATCACAACCACACAAAGTTAGATACCAACACACACACACACACACAAACACCAAAAGACTTCAATATTAATTAAAAACTTAAAAATTTAATTCAAAATTTATAAATAATTGTAAATTATATAGCAATTTTATTTTTAAATAATAACATTTGGCATAATCAAAATTTGTTTTTAAACAAAAAAAAAAAAAAAAAAAAAAACTACAACAACAAAAGTGCAAGGAATATTTTTGGCAATTTTTTTTTTAATTTGAAATTTTTGTTATGCAATTTAAATTTGAATGATTTCTTTTTTCTTTTTGTTTTGCTTTTGCTTTTTAAAAAATTAAAAACGGGAAAAAGAAAAATTAATTGTTGGCCTTATTTTAACTTAAATCAAATTTATTATAATTTTAGTAGCATTTGTAAAATACGAGAAACAAAAACAAAATATGTAAAACTATAAAAATCATTTTTTATTGTGTATGAAAACGGCAGAGAAATGTTTGAAATGTGCAATTTTTAATTTTTACTATTATTATTATTATTATTATCATTATTCTAATTATATAATTATATACATATACATAGTTTTCACACATATACACACACACATTTTGAATATATTGGAAAATAGCAAATCGGAAGTATAATAATAAAAACTATAAATAATTCCAAATTGAATGCTTTAAATAATTCAATTCAATTTGAATACTTGTAAACAGCACTTGAAGAATAAAAACAAAAACAGTGAATAATTTAATTAAATAATATAAATAGAACCAACCTATTAGTGGAAGAATTAACCGAAATATAAAAATACAAACAAAACAAATAACTCATTCTTAAGTTTCATTATATAATTATTATAATATAAATTTGATTTAAAACATAAGTTTTTTATAGATTGCCTATCGCGCGTTCAATTTTTATTCACATAGTTTGTTTTGTAGTTTTACTCTAATGTAAAAAAACACAGAAAGTCTACAATAATATATATATATTTTACAATTTTACGTAAATACAAAAATGGAACATGCAACAACAACAAAACAAAAATATACACACAATATATATGAAAATATGTTGAACAAAAAAAAACCAAGCATAAGCAAAATTGTGTTTTTATTTAATTTATTCTTTTTTTCAATATTTGCTTTTATCGATTTACTGAACGTTAAGAAATGTATTAGGAATGCGATGTGTTTTCATTTTAAATTTTGTTCTTTTATGTTACTTTAATAATACTTTATGAAGACAGGTATGTACTCGTAACGTAGTTCGATAAATCGATCAATTGAATGAAACATGAAAAATATAGAAGAGGAATTTTTCTTAGGTTACATTTGAGTTTTATAAATATTCGACAAACGCTTAGACTCGAAGAGCAGGGTAGAGCACGACGACTCTTTGCGATAAGTTTCGATAATTAGATATCGATAGATGACGTGCAGAATTTGAATGCAATTCGCTAAAATGCGAAGCAAACGGCTGTGAAGTTAGCTTTTACCGAGTGTGGCTATTCAAAAATTGGAAAAGCAAACTAAGAAACAAATTTTTTTGGAGTATAAAAGAGAATGAACCGAAAGAGGAAAGGGAAATGAGTAAAGGTAAAAGAGGGAGAAAGCAAAGAGTATTGCGAAATAGCTTGGGTTTACAAATAGAAATTGATTTTGTTTGATTTTTAACTGTAGTCCAAGTTTTAGTTTCACAAATTGGAAAACTGACACAATGAAGACAGACATGATTTTTAAATGGGTGAAACTTAAGAGTAGAGCCCAATAAAGCTAAAATTAATGTAAAAGAAAAATAAGACACGCTATTAAATAGCTTTAGATGATAAAAAAAATGGCTATAAACTCTTTCAATTAAATAAAAAAGTCTCTAATTTCTAAATGAAAAATAATTATAATAAAAATTACATAAACAGGCTGATGTCATGTCAAGTGCATAAGTTAAGGAATCCAACCTAATCGTAAGCAAATGAAATATTTAATTTAATATTATAATAATAAACTCCTCGCGCCCTCGCTATAAAACATTTCCTTCAACTTTTATAATACCATATATAATATCTGCAAATAACAAAGATTTACCCTGACACTACCTAAGCCTAAGAGAAACTGTAAATATGTATGTAGGTAACTCTTGCTCTATATAAAATAAGAAGGCATTACGACAAGCAAATACAAATACGAAACATACAAAAGAAAGCAACCTGACAAAATTATAAAAATAAACAAAAAATAAGCTACATATAAAGTAAATAACTTGTTGAGATATCCATTCATATAATAATAAAAGCAAAAACAAACAAAAAATAAATAAAAAGAACAAAGAGTACGTGAACAAATCGTTATGTAGATTTTTGTGAATTCAAGAAAAGCGACAAATACAAAAACTTTATTTAATTTTTATGCACTGTTTTCTGTTACGTGTAACTGTAACTTGTTTTGCCCTGTAACTGTAACTAAATATGGTACTTAATCCTTAGAAGATATGTGTACGATCCGTAAAAGTTTAAAATCGGCGAAAAAGAGGAAGAAATCGAATCCCATATTAAGAAAAACATAAAACAAAAACCAAAACATGATAAAAGATAATGAAAAAGCAAAATTGAAAGATGAAAGTTTTGTGTTCAACTTGTAGATATTGATCCTGAATTGAAAACTACCTCAAACGAAACATTCAAATGACAAACACGATTAAAAGGTTTTTCGAGCATTAATAATAAACGTAACTACAAGCGAGACCTTAGCATCAGCGCTAACCACAAATATACATTACAAAATACCAAACAAAAATAATATGATCTTTATGTTTCGCTGAATTTCTTAAAAAAAAAAAAAAAAAAAAAAACAATTAAAAAAAAAAAATGAAATCCAAGCTCTCTGTTTAAAAATATGATACAAGAAATGCCTTCTTATAGGTACCTGTTTCTTTTTTGTTTGTTCTTTGCAGCACTCGATCATAATTGTCATAAATGAAAAACACTAAACACTCAACCCACATTTATTTAATTTTGAATATATTACTTACATATGTGAAATATTAAATGCTTAACCCAATCACAAAATGAGAAATTTAAAACATTTTAGTTTCGTTTCTTCACTGCCAACATTAAAAAGGGAATAAATAATAAAAAGTAGAGTGAAATTTAATTTAATTACACAGATCAAACCACTGCTATGAATGTTAGTAGCCCCAATACTGTGTGCTGAATCCTGACCTGAGCTTAGACCCTTCTGTTTCCCTTCCATACTAGTGAATATTCCATATTGAGGCACCATAAAGAAAATTTCGTGGAAATTGTGAAACTTTCATGGGGAAGAGAAGAGATATTGGCAAGCCCTTGAGACTGGCGGGGACTATTCTGATATTAGTTTCAGATTCAGCACATCAAATCCCTGCTGACCTGTGCTAATGAATGAAGCAGGCATTTATAGAAAAAATGTCAATATTTCAAATTCGATTTGCAATGTGCAGCAATCAGTAATATACTACTATTACCCAATTATCTACAATATATAGGATAACAATACAAATTACATAATACAGTTACACTGAAATTACGATCTATGCTAAAAATAACGCACATTAGCTGAAAGAAGAAGAAACAATATATACTTTTTGAATGATGAAAAACCGGACAAAAAAGCAACTGAAAACTGAATTGGTGGCATTTTAGAGATACAAAAGAAAAAGAATATGAATCATTACAGATTAAAAAAAACATATATACACATAATTTAAATGAAAGGCAGATGAATAATAGACAAAGAATACGTAAAAAAAATGTTAACTTTTATGAATTCCAAAGAGTATCTATGTTTCCCATATAAACAATTTAGCTCTATTTTTTTTTAAGCGCTACACTGCCAAAAAAAAAAAAAAAAAAAAAAAAAAATACAAACAAAATGAAAGAAAGCTTTTATTTATTTTATTTATATATATAGATTAGATTGAAGGCAGCCAGTCTTTTTTCATTTGGCAACTATTTGACAAATCTGTTTACACTTTTCCTTCATTACGTTTATTACAAATGAGAGAGAAGTAGAGATTGTTAGCATTTAAACCGAATAAACAATTAGATATGCATTCTTAATTATTATGTTATACGGTTTTTATCGAGATTAACTTGCTTTTCTTTTGAGAACTTAAGGTGCATTGATCTGTCTATTTAGGGGAAATCGCATGTAATTGTGTATATATAAATATATATGTTTATATATATATGTATTTATATATACTTATACACATAATATATACTATGTAAACTTATATTTAGTTTTGATGTACTTTCATTATGTATTGCTAAAAACGAAAACCACATAAATTATATCTTTTATACTTCAAACGCGTAAAACTACGATTAGAACTTGACTTAAGTTTCAGAAGAAGTCTATACATGCATATACATACATACATTCATATGTATGTATGTAAGTATCTGTAATGATGTAATTTGCTATATTTATGTGTGACTTTTTGGGCGATCGAGTGACAGCGCATTAACTAAAAGCTGATTAATATGCGAATCTATGGGCGCATATAAATACATTTTTGAACAAAATTACATTACATACGAGAAACATTAAATATTTACATAGGGTTAGAGGCTACACAGAGCAAAACACACTTTAAATAGTTTTAAAACTAAGCTGTACATATACGTATTATTATACTAATAACAACAACAAAAGTCTATATATACGA